AAACAAAAATAACACAAAAATATTAAAAATACAGGTTTTTGCAAAATTACGAAAAATTTACTAAACACACAACAAATGTGTAAACGTAAAACATATAGCATTTAAACTTATCTTTTAAATAAAAAAAGGTTCATTCCGATCCGACAAATAGTTTGCGAAATATACGCTTTTTAAAAATCAATGGCCGCCATTTTGATTACGTCATAGCCGGAAAACGTGGGGGGTCGGAGGTAAACACCCAGGTTTTTTAAACTCCCTAGACATCAAACTAAAACGTTTTGCAAGAATATTGAGTATACGCAAGTTTGCACACTAAAGTATAGCTAGCTGCAGGACTAATGGTAATGTGACCAAAGAAAAAATAATTACCTAAGAGAACAAATGAAATTTGTTAAAGAGGAACATCGCTGGTTCTACGAGCATGTGTTTGATGAACACAAGGAAAAAGAATCATTGAACTGTGGAACATAAGAACTGAGTTAGTTTATTTAGGCTTTAAAACTTAAAGGATAATTTTAAGACTAAATCTCTTTATTTTAAACATCCAAAAATATAACATAGGTAGCCTAAATACTGATTTTTATAAAAGTCTTTTTAAAGTAACATAAGATTGATTTTCTTTTAAGTTATAGGCCTAGGCCTATTTTGTTTTAGAAGTTGTGTTTTAACATTATTTTAAGGGCAACATAAAGACAGAATTTGAAATGATATTGAACATTTCTGAAGATTAACATAAAGGATGATTTTTAATTTGTTTGTGGGTAAAACATTTGTATAAAAATTGATTTTCTGTAGTATTTTGGTTTTTTGAAAATGTGTTTCATGAAACAAGGAACGTTGACTGATAAAAACTTAACATGAAATACTGAGTTTCTTTAGTTATAGCAATTAAAGTGCAACATGAAGACTGCATTTCTGTAGTTTTAACAAAAGACTACTCAAAAACTTATAAATTTATTTTTAGTGTTTTAAAAGCTAACATATTGATTGATTTTATTTAGAGTTTTTAGGTTATTGTGTTGGTTTCTGTTTTAATGGCATAAAATGTACCTGCAGTAATTTCATTGAACCTTGTTAGTAATAAATAAACAAGTTTTATACCTTTGAGAATAGACTTTGCTTTTCCCTTTACCCTTTTACAGATTTAATCCTTGCAATATACAGGGTGTTTTTTTAAAAACTTGCATCTTTATTTATGTAAAAACCGCAATAGATAGAAATATGCAGTTTGCGGGAATCATCTATTGTCGTAGGGGGACCAATTGTTTTGAATTCAACGTTACATTCACATTCCCCCCCTTTCCCCCCCTGCCCCCAACTTAATTTTTTTAAATAGCAAAGTACCCCTTGTGACATATCAAATAAAAGAGCATGAAAAAAGAAAATGTTTGATGAAAAAAAATTGAAAATCGGTTCATAAATTTGTGAGATATTCCCCCCCTCACCCCCCCGGAACTTATTTTTTTTTTAATAGCAAAGTACCCCTTGTGACATATCAAATAAAAGAGCATGAAAAAAGAAAAATTTTGGCGAAATTTATTTTTCATTTGATATGTCACAAGGGCGGGTACCTTGCTATTAAAAAACAAGTTATGGGTAGGGGAAAAGGGGGGTGATTATCTCACAAATTCATGAGCCGATTTTAAATTTTTTTTCACCAAAAATTTTCTTTTTTCATGCTCTTTTATTTGATATGTCACAAGGGGTACTTTGCTATAAAAAAAATTAAGTTCCGAGGGGGTGAGGGGGGGAATATCTCACAAATTTATGAACCGATTTTCAATTTTTTTTCATCAAACATTTTCTTTTTTCATGCTCTTTTATTTGATATGTCACAAGGGGTACCTTGCTATTTAAAAAAATTAAGTTGGGGGCAGGGGGGAAAGGGGGGGAATGTGAATGTAACGTTGAATTCAAAACAATTGGTCCCCCTACGACAATAGATGATTCCCGCAAACTGCATATTTCTATCTATTGCGGTTTTTACATAAATAAAGATGCAAGTTTTTAAAAAAACACCCTGTATATATACAATGATAGATGACATCACTTAACACCTTATTCCATTCTGAAGATACAAAATTCCAGTGGATAAAGGAGGTAAGTGATAAAAAACTATAAAAATGAGCTAGACCTGGTTGGATTATATCTAATTAGAGGTTTTGTATAAAATTTAATTTTTTATTTCTCTCTACAGACATTAAGTTGAAAAAATTGGTCAAGGAAAAAAAATCTTATAGCCCAAAAACTTTGGATCCATTTTACTCAAAACTAGCAAAATGTTACGTTACTTACCACCTTCATCCACTTAACCCTTCATTTGTTTATTGCTAAGGTGTTTATGAAAGCTCACATTTAGAGGTATATTTATGTGTGTTAGAAACTAGAATTAGTTTAACAAGTAGGTTTGCTGCCACAGGGAGGGTAAAAAATAGAAATTTGTTGTAAAATGTTAATAGTTTAGTAAAAAACAAATGCATATTTCAAATTTGATCAAAATATGTTCTAAATACATAAGTTTACTGCATAAGAAGAAGTTTACGGTTGAAGTTTAAGGAAATGCTTAAGAAGTTTACTGTTCTCCATAAGAAAAACATGGGAATTTTAAATTTACTATTTTTAAGAATTTTCTCCGTAACCATTAGGCGCATAGTAACGCTTCAATATGAATATGAATGGCCTCTAGGGACCTCAAAACGAAAAAGTTAATCGGTCTCGGGTCAAGGTATTACCATCTACGATAATAGCTTATTCCCTATACTAACTAGCTGTGTACCCGTTCTACGCACGGGGATCTTTTAGTATTCAGTTGAAACCTTCATATATAAAAACAGCAGTTGGTTTGCATGTTTTCAGATATGCTGGCCAAACTACTAAACATAACTTCATTTTATGTTGTTTGTTGTTGTTCCGGATCGGCATGACAATCAATAAAAGGTTAAATGACCTGTGATCCTAATGTATCCTATTACAGGAGATGCATTTCGGCAAAATTAAATCGCCATCATCAGTCCTAATATAAGGTCTTGAGCTTCCCCATTAGGTGCGTCTTGGAGTTTTTGAAACACATACACGAACTGTACACTTATACACATGACGAATAAAAAATAAATACACGGTATCCCTACTTTTATATTTACTATGGACATGTAGACGCACGTCGGTCGTTTGCCGAGTCTCGACTGAAAACGCTCATTTAAAAAAATGTCAGTTTCCCAGCCATATACAACACTGATATAAGGTCTTTTTCCCGGTTATCAAAACTCAAGAACAATTTTATACACAAAGAATCTCTATTTTCATTTACGGATACCCTACAAATTATTGCACTTGCGATTAATTAAATACGTTATGTAAGGAAAAACGTTTTTAATCTTACTTGGTTTGGATTTGCTTTCAAAACGTGATCGGAAATGGTTGCGGTATTTGTGAACAACATTCAATGTAAACATATCAGTGACAGCTAGAAGAAATAATCTTGATTCGAACAGCTGTTCGGTATTTCATAGATGAATATATGTGATAAACATTGGGGAAACTTTACAAAGAATCGCACAAAATTGGGTTTTTAAACGTCCGTCATTTTATTTACAAAGTAGTGACGCAATATTTTAATTGCTAAAGACAATCTCGCCAATCCAGTGAATACGTTAAAACGATTTGGAACTAGATTGGTACTCTCGTTTTTCAGGAGAAGGCCGCGTAATATGGCTCTTGGGCCGTGACAGACAGGAAGACAGACAGGTAGACGGACAGACAGACAGACATAAATTTAGATGAGACTTGTTTCGGTTTCTTTAATGTATAATACGTAAAAATAACCTAAAAGTTTATGATTTTGAGCAATGTGCAGACAAAACTCTAATTTTATTTATATAGATGGGAAATTCGCTAAAAAGTAATTGAATTTATCATAGGAGGAATTTGTGGTGTAGGTCTAGAGGCTTTGGTATATACACATTGGACTCGATCTATCAGTTGTTAATAATTGTATTACCTATTTATCTTTCAGATGCTTCCGAAAATATACTAAAATTTCTAGAAATGCTATTTAAGAGTTAAATTAAATTTTTCTAAATTAACTGAATCAAAGTACAATATATTTAATTCTACAGAATATAAATCCAACTGATTGACGACAAGTGTGCAAGGTGGCGGTTTGTCGAGGTGGCAAGTTGTCGCTTATGGGCGAGGTGGCGCGTTGACGGCGACGAACACTGAGCGTACACGTCAACCGACCACCTCGTAAAAGAGTGGTGGCGGGTTGACTGGGAGGCACGTTGTCGCCTACGTGCGAGGTGGCGGGTTGCCGACATCGCACATGGAGCTTCACGACTACCCGCCATCTCTGATAAAAACTGGTGTTGACGGGTTGCCGTGGTGGCATGTTGCCGTGGTGGCATGTTGACGTGGTGGCTCATTGACGCGAGTGTGCACGACAACCCGCCACCTCGGATACATGTGTGGTGGTGGACTGTTGTCGATGTGGCGGGTTGACTTGTACGTACACGTCAACCCGCCACCCCGGTTTCTTTGTGGTGGCGGGTTGACACCTCTGACCAAAACACCGAGGTGGCGGTTTGACGTGGTGGCGCCTTGACAGCGACCCATATTTCAAACAATTCAAAGGATATCATTGTGCAAGCAAACTTACTCGTATAGGATTTGACTTGAGTGTGTATGGAAGAGAGTGGTGGGTTTATACAACCTGATAAATAATTCAAATAAAAAATTAAAAAAATCATCAAATTACTAACCAATTCCTTAAAACACCTTAATAAGTATTTATATAATTTATTTAATTTATTTATAAAAACAGAAACTGAATTAATTTTTAGTCAAAAAGAAAAATATTTATTATTTTACACAGTATGTTTTTATTTTGTAACCTAGTCAACTAAGTTACAGATGATATAAAATCAGGCACTGAAATTAAAACTGTTAATCATATTGTTTGATTTGAAATTATTTTGTTTATTCTAACATTTATTGTTTGTTTATTGGAGTATCAAACTGTTAAGTGAAATTGATTATATCAAAACTATCATGTTTCTTATCTGATATTTGACTAAATAATGAGGGGACTAGATATAGCACTTGCTCAAGTTGTGTTATCAGCTTCTTCTGGATATTCCCTGTACTGGGGAAGTGATTTGAAATTTGTCAGAATAGCATTTGGACTTTGCCTTATAAATGGTGTTGTAGGGATCCTAGATTATGGTAAGTAGCAATATTTATTATTTTAATTACAAACCATGTACGTTGTTCGTTCCAAGAGGTTGTCACCAATCTTAACAGGTTGCCATTTTATTGAAAAGTAGTAAAGTAGTAAAGACGTCGTGAAAGAGAGCGGCGTGTTCAGGTACAACCTTACCCACCTCGGTCACCTTAGGACGTAGTGTATGAAGGTTCCACTGCTTTTAACATCCTTTCAGATGACAATTTCTCGAACTTGGGCACTTTAAATGAAATATTAAGTCAAAGTTGATTAAATTAATTTAATGGTGGCTTCTGTACACCCGTGAATTCGCGGGTAGAACCTCTTGTAATGACTTAAAATAGTATAATTTTAAAAGATGGAAGCATGCCATGGTACACTTAGCGCTAGTGCTAGTGTCTATGACAATGATCCCTCTTGCCTTTATGTACTATAATTACCAGTATTACAAAACATAGTTGTGTGAGCCAGTCACAAAACACGCTAATGTCTAAAATTATATTTTCTATCTTATGTTTTGTTGCTGACGTAGTTGATTGCGATAGCTCATAATAAGTCGTTCCATCAGATTGACTTGGTAATTAATTCTATATATTCGTCAGAAATGAATAAATTAAATCAGCACAATCTGTTATGATGGCTCACACCACCTAAGATGATTTTTGATTCAAAAATTAGCGACAACTTAAACGTGGGGATGGAACTTCTAAACCCTCAATTAAATAAGTATCGGGACTGGTTCAATTTAGCCTCAAGAAATCGGTGAAGGGGGGACGGGTCAGGCTCGATAGAGGGGTCCACTATTCAGGAGCACTTAGTTGGTTCAGTGTCTGTCACCTGCATTCGTTGATATGTGAGGTTGATTTTTGTGCTAAGTGTTTTCCATTGCGTCGTCATGCAAACACGTAGCGTACTGTCGAGCAATGTTATGCTATGAACTTTTGATTTTAAATCATAAAATCGTTAGAGACCATTATTAAAAAGGCTAAAGGAGATAATGCCAAACCGCACAAGAGTTTTTGAGTGGCACGAAGGAAGGCTGGGAACTCATAAAACGAGTACCGGTACCGCATCAGATACCCGACGACCGCTCAAATCAAGGCTCAGGTGGCCAAAGAGAAAGAAGTTTTGGACTCGAACAGGCATTTAACCATCGCTCAATTCAGTGAGAAGACCAGCCTCTCCATGGGGACCGTTCACATTCGTAACTGTCGCGGGTGGAAATTTCACTAGACGTCTTGGAAAAGCTTACATGTCCAAATCCAAAACCAAGATCGATGTGGTATGTTCACAAGGAGTTTGTACCTACTGTAACGACCTAATGCTGTATTTAACGTGCCGGTAGTTTTTTTGTAGTTTTTTTTTTAAAGGGAGAGGAGGGAAAATGCTTTTACGCACACAGGTAGCCAGTGTGAGACTCCTGACTTTACACAGACTACTAACTAAAAAACCCCCTCTACTCTGTTGGACACAGACCTGGAATTGTTTGTCACATTACTTCAAGTCAGGCCAACATGTGACCTAAGCCCTCAGGGCACTCACCATTTCTGGCATTTAGATACATTATGACCTACGCCGCATCCCGGTCAAGGTCGAGCTTCTTGGCACTGAGAATACCCTGGATGTAATGTGACACACAGGTCCAATTGTGTTCACCCTCTGTCATCACCGGTATGACCGTGCCCACCGACAGCAGTTCTACTAACTGTTGAGCCTCCAAGCTGGGGACTTTCCCAACGCTGGCAGTGGAAAAGGTATGTTACACGTCATCGGGAATGCCTGGGCAGTATATGCAATCGGGTGACACGGCTTTGCCCATCCTGAACAGGTACGACCGGAAAAAGCCATGACCCGTCATAAATTAGGTGAGGTAGAAGTCCACCTCTCCGCACCGCCGATTAACCCGAGGTTTGACTTGCTGTATCAGTCGGCTGGTCCAGCGTCCCCGTGTCTCCTGTTCCCAGCTCTCCTGCCACAGCTGGTAGGTTCGGGTGCCTTTCTCTGTTCGTGCCTGGACCTCTCCACTGCGCTGATAAATTGCCTTCCTCTCCGCCGCAAAAAGTTTGACGGGGATGACTCCCCGTCATCGCAACCACCAGGATGGCGGGTTCGGACACTGTTCGGTAGGCGGATGCAACTCTTAGTGTTGCCTGACGCTGCACTCGGGAGAGCCGCATCCTATATACCTCCTTATTGAGAGCGTCTGCCCACTCCTCCGCACCGTACAAGAGAACGGACTGGACAGAAGACCAGCCTCTACACACACAACACAGCCTTCCCTTGACAGCCTTCTACGGCTGGACCGAGGCCCTCCGACATTGGCTATCAACCGGCTAAGAGAGGAAACCGCCCTAGCGGCATAGTCCGCCGTACGGAAAATCTGATCCCAACAGCTGAAACGTGCCGGTAGTGGGCCGCCTACGAAATCGCGTAATACACGTGTGACCAGCCGTCTTGCAGAATTGGCAACTTGACCACGACAACGCGCCGTGTATAGTGCCACGGTGTGATTGTTGTGCAGCAGCTACTAGCGAAATTCGGCGTAGCCATGTTATCTCAGGCCCCCTACAGCCTAGATCAGACTCCACCTGACTTTTTCTTATTTCCACAAGTAAAAAGGCAGCTGAAAGCACAGCGGTTTTCCTCCATCGAGGCGGCGACGACATAGGCTCTAAACAGAATTCTGGAAACCTACTTCCAGCTGGCTTTACTCAAAATGGTTCGAACTATGTGTATCGAAGCAGAAGGGATGCATTTTTTTGAATTGTATTAAGTAATTGTAATGTTACCAATCAGTCCCGATGATTACTGAATTGACCCTGTATCAATAGTCAAAAGTTGTACTGTCAGAGTTTATTTGTTTGACGTTATCGATTTATAGTCATTAATAAACTTAAAATTTAAACAGGCCTGTCCATAAAGAGAAGGATTACAAGAGTACGGGAACTACGAGATTATGTGGATTTCCTTGACAGAGTTTCAAGGAAATCCTATACACCCCTTGTTGCTGCAGAGGCTTTAGTCTTTATTGGACATGACAAGAAGTCCTCCTTATCCATACTGGTGTATCCTTTCTTATACATTGTGCTGACAGAGCTTCTAGAAGAAAGAGTTAACCAAGATAAAAATATAGTTTTCGTTTTCAATTTGAATTCAATCTGCTACTCTATTTTGCTGTCAAAGGATTATTTGTTTGGAGGAACTATGTTGCTACTCAACATGGCAGCTTTCTGGATGAAACAACACAGCAGAACAAAATACTTTCTAACAATAGGAGTTGCCAACTTAGCAGCACTACAGTATTTTAAACAACTATTTGATTAGACTGAGAAAGGTAATAGAATAGCATTATCTAGATTTTTCCAGTACTGTTTGTTAATCATTCCTAAGAATTTCTTTCTGATAAAATTAAACACTTGGCAAGTAAACTGTTGTTGTAATGTTTCCAACAAGTTTTGTACAGTACAATGATGTTTTAACGTGTTCTCAATATTAAGGCCTTGGTCTCTATATAACTATTGAACCAATTGCTACCATCGGAAAGTCCGTGATGTACGATATCACACCTGATGTATTGGTACGTCAGCTATGATATTTGAAAATAAGATTTTTTATGTATCATAACATGGTATATATTCATGGTGATTTTCCTTCCACCATGGTATATATCATAGTATACCATCATTCTACAATATACATTTAAATTTGTTTATCAATAGTTATTATAATAACTCGTAGGCGAAGTAGCACTTTGCCAAGCACGAGTTTCTCGAGTGCAGCAAAGGCAGTTTGCACTCGTTTTATACATTAAATTTTTCCTACAGTCACTATAAAATTATATAAACAATTAGTCTTTCAAACAATGTGCAACACGTTTTAGGTTAGATTAAATCCAAACATTGAACGAAATTAGAAACGCTACACCAGTCGTAATATTTTTAAGTGTTGCCAACTTATTTTCAAGCGTACACAGATTACGTGCATATTAAAAGCACGCTGTTTTGTGTTGTTTGATTGGAATACCGGTGTGCGCCAAAGTACAAACTGTGCGCCAAAGTAAGGCTTTCTGTACTATAATCTGTGCAAGAAAGCCCACTTTGTGGGGTGACTGTAAGAAAAATATTATATTCCTTGAAAGATTTGATTACGTAATACAGGCAGGTATGCACATATTTTGATATTTTTTTAGAAGAATAAGTTTTATATGTATACTCATGTGGACATTACATACATATCCTTTGTATCGGTATTTTTCCTGTGTTTACTTGCTAATGTCTCTGATGTAACCACAGTTCTGGTTGAACGTGACCATGAACCTAAACCAATCGAAATTTTCTCAATCTTGGCCCGATTTTGCAATTAATTCAGGCATAAATAATTATGCATGGATCCATACGATTAGCAAATGTTACTTTTTAAAGTCTTGCCAGCTTTAAGATAAAGAATTGCACAAATAGTGGTCAACATACCTGAGGTTTGTTTTCTTAAATTTTGTACATTTAAGGGGAGGTCAGCAGTTTTTCGATCAAAAAATAAATTTGTTTTATTATTGTAAAATATTCTCCATTTTATGCTGTTTCCAAATATATATAACACTCTATAGGTAAAAATATTATTTACCATAAGAAAAAATATTAAAGAAATATATCTCCGGTTTTTTTTCCATTATTAAAATCAATCACAAAATCCAAACATATTTTATAGTATACTCTGTATTTTCAATTTTCCTTTTCAATGTTATAGGTTGGTCAACCTGGTTGTGTTTTAGTGCTTACTTACTGTACTGAGTCAGCTGTTATTTGTTTCAGTTCTGCTTTGTTGTTTATATGTGCAAAAGTTTCCAACAACAATAGTTCATTGAATTAGATTTGATAATCAGTGTTTTAGTTTTGAAAAGTGGTGAATTTGAGCTGTTAGTGCTTAGTGTTATAGTTTAGTGATGCCTAGAGTCAGGAAATTCAATTCAAGTAAAAAATTCACAGGCAACAGATTTACAAAGCCTAGGCCTAGTGCTGAAAGATGTAAAACAGGCCAAACTCCTCCCTCTGCTGCTCAACCTGTAGGCCTAAAATCATCTAGTTCGAAGAAACTTAAGAACTCCAAACTTCCTAAAGACTATACATATGATGTAGATGATGTAAATATAGTTGTAAGTGTACCCATCTTATCCAGTTTAGTTAGAGGATTTACCAGTTGTAATACATGCTCCAATACGGATTGCATTCATTTGCGTATTGATGAAAATTATCAGAATGGTTTGTGCCATAGGATTATTATTGAATGTAATAGGCCTACCTGCAAATCGAGCCAAACATCTTTAAATAGCAAAACAGTTATCGATAGGTAGGGGAACAGAGGCAGGAAAAACCTTTTCTGCGATAATGAACTTGGCCTCACCAAACACGAGACTGCAGCACTACTATAATACCATATTGCCAGCTGCTACTGATGTTTGTGAGGCATCAATGCGTAATGCTGCCATTGAGTCAATTGAAATTAATGATAACAACAAAGACATTGCAGCTGCGTTTGATGGTACGTGGCAGAAGCGTGGGCACTCGTCTCGGAATGGCGTAATGACAGTCACGTCCTTTGACACCGGCAAAGTATTAGATTTTCACTGTCTCTCCAAGTTTTGTATTACATGCTCCAGAAATCAACAAGGCCTAGGCCTAAGGGACCCTGAAGAACTTGAACAGCACAAGAAAGTATGTGGAGCAAATTACGAAGGGACAAGTGGCGGGATGGAGGTAGCTGGGGCTAAACTTTTGTGTGGACGTTCGGAAGCGAAACTTGGTGTACGATACACAAGGTATTTAGGAGACGGTGACTCCAAGGGCTTTGTTTCAGTTCTAGAAAGCAAACCTTATGGTGAAAATGTAGAGATAAAAAAAAAACTAGAATGTGTCGGGCACGTACAGAAGAGGCTCGGCACTAGACTCAGAAACTTAAAATTATCGATGAAATAAAAGTACTACGTGATGGAAAAGTAATTGGTGGCAAAGGTCGGTTGACCGATGTTGAAATTGACGATCTCCAAAGATATTATGGCCTAGCCATAAGGAGGAATCTAAAAGATGTACAAAGCATGCAAAATGCAGTTTGGGCAACGTACTTCCATAAAATGTCAACAGACGACAACCCCCAACACCATTTATGCCCAGAAGATGAAGATACATGGTGTAAATATAATCAATCTAAATACACCAACATACCTTACAAGCACACAAAATCCTTACCAATGGCTGTGATGAATGAGATCAAACCAATATATTATGACATTTTGACGGATGAAAAACTTCTCGAACGATGTTTACACGGGAAGACTAAAAACCCGAACAAGAGTTTTAACAACTGTATTTGGAGGAGAGTCCCTAAAACTGACTTTGTTAGTCCAAACTCTCTAAAACTAGGAGTCATAGATGCAGTAATTTGCTTTAGGCCCGGTTTCCCCAACTCATTTAAATTTAGTTTTAAGTTAACGGCGATTTAAACTTAGTTTAACTTTGATTTGTGTTTCCCCAAATTTAAACTAGGTACTAATCTAAGTTCAAACTAAACCACCTCTCGACTTGTAGTCCAGTGCAATTAGGTTATGACCCGGACAAAATTGATAACAGGCTGAAAATTGGTGGAAATGTTCAAAACAATGTCCTGAGTGGCCCACACAAAGTCCCAAGAAATCCCAGTTGGGGAACGGCCGCCATTTTGAAAAAACTGCCGCCATCTTGGAAATTTAGATTTCTTGCTGTATCTTTTGAAGTAATTGTCCGAAAGACCTTATTGATGTCTCAAATTAAACGTTTTGGCCTCATGTATTAGGGTAATATATAATTAAAGAGTTTATTATGTTCTAAGCATAAATATTATTTATATTAACCTCAAAAATATCTATAATAATGATATAGATATGGTTATGTCCCCCCTTTTATACGAATTGTGGGTATTTATAGGCATGCAAGGTGGATGCGATGCTCTCTGGTGTGGTAACGTCCGCACTAGTGAGTACTATGACTATCCGCAGTACTATCCTGATAATTAGACCAATTCGTTAATTAAAAGAAAAAAATGTGGTTCGGATTCCACTATAAATGGTAGGTCCCTTAGTTGCCACTAGCTGCATGGTCTATTAATTAACATCTGTGTCTAAGGAACACATGTCGGCCTTAGTCACTAACAAGACTACAAGATCGCGCCACTCATCCTACACTCATCCTTCACTCATATTTGGTTAAAATATGCACATAGTGGCGTCCCCATATAAAATAATAATGATATAAATATACAAAATATTTTCAAAATAAGCTTTTTCTCTTTTTTCGTAATTGACTTGTTTAAGCCATTAACCCTATTGAATTTTCTTGCACCCCACAATGCTTAGTCTTTGGAATTGGTTAAATATAGATATAATATCTATTTAACTATGATAAAGCTTTAAAGAGGAGACAACTAATACAGCTCATGCAATTATTGCTGCAGCTCGACCACGATCTTTCACATCGCCCCTGCTCCCCAACCTTCACGGACGGTATGGCTCAAAGTTGCCGTTAGACATTCTATCGTAGCTCGGAGTTTGCTCGACATACAAGAAGGTTGTCAATTATGAGACTTCGATAGTTGATAATGTATCACCTTCAATAGATGATGGAGCTTACGTTCATTATGTTTTCGACAACGCGGATTACAGCATTAAAACACTTGATGGACATGGTACTCTTCACGCCATGGGTGGCATTGAGTGCATAACACCAGCCGAAATGTGTCAAAGCAAATGCTCCTGTACCACGATCTACAATCCCAAAAGCAAAAAGTGTCCTTCTATCCCATGGCTTTCAGCCAGTGACACATCCGCCTAAGCCTGGGAGATCTTTAGTAGTGTTGGGAGATGTCAGTACAGCCATTTCCGAACCAAAAATAGTTGTAGATGCTTGTCTTGCTGACACCCTATGGCTCATTAACCACCAACTGAATGACAAACCAAGTCCACGTTGAAATTGATACATGGATACAGTACAACGCCCCTATGGTCTTAATTGTACCACGATGCATGGATACTGCACTGGAAACGGATGTGCCAACCGTAGTTACATTATAATTTTATATGCAATATTGAAATATAATGTTAATCAATTATTGCAACTATATCTAGATGACTCTATTTTTCAGATCAGAACGAACAAAATTATTAATTGCTTTTTCATAATTTATTTTGTACTTCATTGTTAAATTGTTGCTTTTCTAGTCAAGATTATATTTCCTGTCCTGATGTATATTACCGATGTTGCTCTGCTCTTGCCATAGATTTAAGTTAGTTAAGTGTTCTGTAAAATGCCTGTTCACTTAGGCTTCTTGAATCCACATTGTAAATTGGTGATCTTGCAGTTGGAATAAATAAATAAATAACAAATTACAGCA